TTAGGCTTGCTGTGCTTTTCGATAAACGCATCGGGATAAGCGTTCCTAGTCAAAGATTCTTTCAGCTGTCGTAGTTCGTTGTCAATCATGTCTTCTGTGCAGATATGTCGTGCTGTTTGAAATAGTGTTCGGACCAGACCACGTTCATATTCCACAGACACAAAGCTGTCAAATTGCAAGCATTGGCCTGTCCAAGTTTCTTTTCGGTAAACAGATCTGGCCATTGTTCCATCATTATTCCTAGTCATTTTAATGTCGAGGAAGTGCAGTGTATCTTCGATTTCTGTTTCCATCGTAAATCGTATATTCGGATGCAGGCGATCGAGTTTATCCATAATCCATGTTGTCTCTTCTAGACTTATTGTGATGACTAGAACATGATCAACGTATCGTTTATAAAGTTGTGAACGTTCGAGGATTTTGCTCACCTTTTCCTCAAGATGAGCCAAAAACATATGTGCCAGAATGGGGCTCAATGGAGTTCGGATTGCGACACCGTCAATTTGTCTGTAAGCCCAACCAAGGAAGGAGAACGATACGTTTGTTGTGCACAGTAGTAATTGTCGTACCAGAACTGATACTGGTATACCGATTTTCAGTTGGTTTTGCTCCACATGATCACACATGATACGTATGACCTCCCAACCGGGAACATTCGTAAACAGTGATTGGAAATCAAATGAAGCCATGTGCTTCCCTTTCACATTGATCTGGTCCAAAAGCTTTACCACTTCGAAACTGTCTTTTTTATAGTGTGTCTGACCATTGATTTATGAACTGGCTCAAGCAATTTCTCCAGCCATTTGGCCAATTCGTGTTGTGGTGAATTTGTCATAGATAGTAGTAGTATTGGTCCAAGTGGCACTCCGGGTTTGTTTAGTTTCGGTAAACCATACAGTTGTGCACTTCGAGTTCCTTTTGGCTTCAGATGGTGAGCTGTGCTTTCATCGATGAAGTGTCCTTCTAGTAGAAACTGTACTGCTGTCGATATCTGTTGTTCTAGTTCTTTAGGGTCTTCACAGTCATCTTCGAGTACAAACTTGCTGGGATCATGAAGAACACTTTCCATCTTCTTCTCATAATCATTCCGATCGATCAGCACTGCTCCGGACCCCTTGTTAGGGCGTAAAACTAACAAATCAGGTCACAACTGTAGCTCTTCAATGGCGGATGTGAATGTGCTCAGGCGTGAAGAGTGACTTATGTTTGGACGATGTCATCCGGTACTGTCGTTCCAAGTCAACCAGCTTTGCTTTGAACCAAGTCTCCGCATCTTTTGAAGTTCGTTTGACTAATTGTAGTTGTTCGAATAGATATTCAAATTGCGCCTGTGTCTTTATGCTGGTCATTTTACTCGGTGGTATGCAGAAACGTAGACCACACGAAAGAGCTTGTAGTTGAAGTTCATTCGTTTAACCGGAGACAAATTCTTCACAAATCTTTCTGGTTGTTTCGGAGAATTTCGTTCGACTAACTTGTGGACGATGGAATTCTGAAGCTTGTTGAATGTACAAAGTTTGGCTTCTCGTATGTTTTCCATGCACAAGTTGGTAAATTTGATTCGGCTAACGAGGCTCAGTTCGTCAAGAATTATTGATCATTCGATGCACATGGTCTGAAGTGTCGTTAGATTTTCTTTATAATCATCAATCTGACATCGCATCAAACGTCTCAAATTCCTGGTAGAGGCACAGATTTTATTTCTCCGTAAGCGTTTGCAAAACGTAATCGGATATCTGTTGCAACGGGCACGTTGTTCCAGAAAATGAATACGGACTCGTGTTGTGGCAATTTCACATCTCAATCTGACTAGGTCATCGAGAGACCTGATGGTTGATTTCGGGAGACGAGATCTGAGGAAATTTAAACACGCTTTTCCCGAAATAGTCTTGAAAAGAAAAGCCACAGTTGCAACATTGCACGATTCGTGTCCGGGACGATTTCGCTGCATCTGAACATGGTGCACACTGTACAACCATACTGTTTATATAAGTTCATGTAAAACCATAATTTTCGACAAATATAGGGGAAATTTCAATAGTCAAGTTACGTCACCATGATAAAGACACATGAACAAAGAGCTGTTTGTGCTGACACAATATTAGGTTTCCATGAATGTATGGCAATGGTTTGAACAAACCTCAAAAGCCTGGTATTCTTTGCCACGTAAATGACCCGAAACGCAGTGCTTCGGTCAGCTGGATGTTGCGTCATCAGAAGATGACGAGCGACGGCCGACAGCCGACGACGGGATCTTATGGTTTCGAACGTTGTCATTATGCCTTTGATCTGACCCTGATTGCATCACAAAACGTTGTACCCAATTTGGAATATATTCAATCACTCGGTTACGTAACTGGCGCTCTGTTCGACCCAAGTAGGTTGCTCCGCAACTACACTGAAATTGGTAAATCAGATTCGATTTGGTGTACATTGGTGGACGTTGTTTCACCGAGGGTGTGGGGATCTCAATCGTTCGATGAATAATTCTGAGGTCAGGTGCATAATATTTGTTTTTGGCAAGCGCTGATCCAAGTGGTCGTTTGAGCAAGCAATTGATGTCATCACGTATGAATGGAAGACAAATGGTGACTAGTAGTTTTTCTGCTGAACAATTCGTTTGTCTGATCAATTTAGGCTTGCTGTGCTTTTCGATAAACGCATCGGGATAAGCGTTTCTAGTCAAAGATTCTTTCAGCTGTCGTAGTTCGTTGTCAATCATGTCTTCTGTGCAGATATGTCGTGCTGTTTGAAATAGTGTTCGGACCAGACCACGTTCATATTCCACAGACACAAAGCTGTCAAATTGCAAGCATTGGCCTGTCCAAGTTTCTTTTCGGTAAACAGATCTGGCCATTGTTCCATCATTATTCCTAGTCATTTTAATGTCGAGGAAGTGCAGTGTATCTTCGATTTCTGTTTCCATCGTAAATCGTATATTCGGATGCAGGCGATCGAGTTTGTCCATAATCCATGTTGTCTCTTCTAGACTTATTGTGATGACTAGAACATGATCAACGTATCGTTTGTAAAGTTGTGAACGTTCGAGGATTTTGCTCGCCTTTTCCTCAAGATGAGCCAAAAACATATGTGCCAGAATGGGGCTCAATGGAGTTCGGATTGCGACACCGTCAATTTGTCTGTAAGCCCAACCAAGGAAGGAGAACGATACGTTTGTTGTGCACAGTAGTAATTGTCGTACCAGAACTGATACTGGTATACCGATTTTCAGTTCGTTTTGCTCCACATGATCACACATGATACGTATGACCTCCCGACCGGGAACATTCGTAAACAGTGATTGGAAATCAAATGAAGCCATGTGCTTCCCTTTCACATTGATCTGGTCCAAAAGCTTTACCACTTCGAAACTGTCTTTTTTATAGTGTGTCTGACCATTGATTTATGAACTGGCTCAAGCAATTTCTCCAGCCATTTGGCCAATTCGTGTTGTGGTGAATTTGTCATAGATAGTAGTAGTATTGGTCCAAGTGGCACTCCGGGTTTGTTTAGTTTCGGTAAACCATACAGTTGTGCACTTCGAGTTCCTTTTGGCTTCAGATGGTGAGCTGTGCTTTCATCGATGAAGTGTCCTTCTAGTAGAAACTGTACTGCTGTCGATATCTGTTGTTCTAGTTCTTTAGGGTCTTCACAGTCATCTTCGAGTACAAACTTGCTGGGATCATGAAGAACACTTTCCATCTTCTTCTCATAATCATTCCGATCGATCAGCACTGCTCCGGACCCCTTGTTAGGGCGTAAAACTAACAAATCAGGTCACAACTGTAGCTCTTCAATGGCGGATGTGAATGTGCTCAGGCGTGAAGAGTGACTTATGTTTGGACGATGTCATCCGGTACTGTCGTTCCAAGTCAACCAGCTTTGCTTTGAACCAAGTCTCCGCATCTTTTGAAGTTCGTTTGACTAATTGTAGTTGTTCGAATAGATATTCAAATTGCGCCTGTGTCTTTATGCTGGTCATTTTACTCGGTGGTATGCAGAAACGTAGACCACACGAAAGAGCTTGTAGTTGAAGTTCATTCGTTTAACCGGAGACAAATTCTTCACAAACCTTTCTGGTTGTTTCGGAAAATTTGGTTCGACTAACTTGTGGACGATGGAATTCTGAAGCTTGTTGAATGTACAAAGTTTGGCTTCTCGTATGTTTTCCATGCACAAGTTGGTAAATTTGATTCGGCTAACGAGGCTCAGTTCGTCAAGAATTATTGATCATTCGATGCACGTGGTCTGAAGTGTCGTTAGATTTTCTTTATAATCATCAATCTGACATCGCATCAAACGTCTCAAATTCCTGGTAGAGGCACAGATTTTATTTCTCCGTAAGCGTTTGCAAAACGTAATCGGATATCTGTTGCAACGGGCACGTTGTTCCCGAAAATGAATACGGACTCGAGTTGTGGCAATTTCACATCTCAATCTGACTAGGTCATCGAGAGACCTAATGGTTGATTTCGGGAGACGAGATCTGAGGAAATTTAAACACGCTTTTCCCGAAGTAGTCTTGAAAAGAAAAGCCACAGTTACAACATTGCACGATTCGTGTCCGAGACGATTTCGCTGCATCTGAACATGGTGCACACTGTACAACCATACTGTTTATATAAGTTCATGTAAAACCATAATTTTCGACAAATATAGGGGAAATTTCAATAGTCAAGTTACGTCACCATGATAAAGACACATGAACAAAGAGCTGTTTGTGCTGACACAATATTAGGTTTCCATGACTGTATGGCAATGGTTTGAACAAACCTCAAAAGCCTGGTATTCTTTGCCACGTAAATGACCCGAAACGCAGTGCTTCGGTCAGCTGGATGTTGCGTCATCAGAAGATGACGAGCGACGGCCGACGGCCGACGGCCGACAGCCGACGACGGGATCTTATGGTTTCGAACGTTGTCATTATGCCTTTGATCTGACCCTGATTGCATCACAAAACGTTGTACCCAATTTGGAATATATTCAATCACTCGGTTACGTCACTGGCGCTCTGTTCGACCCACGTACGTTGCTCCGCAACTACACTGAAATTGGTAAATCAGATTCGATTTGGTGTACAGAGGTGGACGTTGTTTCACCGAGGGTGTGGGGATCTCAATCGTTCGATGAATAATTCTGAGGTCAGGTGCATAATATTTGTTTTGGGCAAGCGCTGATCCAAGTGGTCGTTTGAGCAAGCAATTGATGTCATCACGTATGAATGGAAGACAAATGGTGACTAGTAGTTTTTCTGCTGAACAATTCGTTTGTCTGATCAATTTAGGCTTGCTGTGCTTTTCGATAAACGCATCGGGATAAGCGTTTCTAGTAAAAGATTCTTTCAGCTGTCGTAGTTCGTTGTCAATCATGTCATCTGTGCATATATGTCGTGCTGTTTGAAATAGTGTTCGGACCAGACCACGTTCATATTCCACAGACACAAAGCTGTCAAATTGCAAGCATTGGCCTGTCCAAGTTTCTTTTCGGTAAACAGATCTGGCCATTGTTCCATCATTATTCCTAGTGATTTTAATGTCGAGGAAGTGCAGTGTATCTTCGATTTCTGTTTCCATCGTAAATCGTATATTCGGATGCAGGCGATCGAGTTTATCCATAATCCATGTTGTCTCTTCTAGACTTATTGTGATGACTAGAACATGATCAACGTATCGTTTGTAAAGTTGTGAACGTTCGAGGATTTTGCTCGCCTTTTCCTCAAGATGAGCCAAAAACATATGTGCCAGAATGGGGCTCAATGGAGTTCGGATTGCGACACCGTCAATTTGTCTGTAAGCCCAACCAAGGAAGGAGAACGATACGTTTGTTGTGCACAGTAGTAATTGTCGTACCAGAACTGATACTGGTATACCGATTTTCAGTTCGTTTTGCTCCACATGATCACACATGATACGTATGACCTCCCGACCGGGAACATTCGTAAACAGTGATTGGAAATCAAATGAAGCCATGTGCTTCCCTTTCACATTGATCTGGTCCAAAAGCTTTACCACTTCGAAACTGTCTTTTTTATAGTGTGTCTGACCATTGATTTATGAACTGGCTCAAGCAATTTCTCCAGCCATTTGGCCAATTCGTGTTGTGGTGAATTTGTCATAGATAGTAGTAGTATTGGTCCAAGTGGCACTCCGGGTTTGTTTAGTTTCGGTAAACAATACAGTTGTGCACTTCGAGTTCCTTTTGGCTTCAGATGGTGAGCTGTGCTTTCATCGATGAAGTGTCCTTCTAGTAGAAACTGTACTGCTGTCAATATCTGTTGTTCTAGTTCTTTAGGGTCTTCACAGTCATCTTCGAGTACAAACTTGCTGGGATCATGAAAAACACTTTCCATCTTCTTCTCATAATCATTCCGATCGATCAGCACTGCTCCGGACCCCTTGTTAGGGCGTAAAACTAACAAATCAGGTCACAACTGTAGCTCTTCAATGGCGGATGTGAATGTGCTCAGGCGTGAAGAGTGACTTATGTTTGGACGATGTCATCCGGTACTGTCGTTCCAAGTCAACCAGCTTTGCTTTGAACCAAGTCTCCGCATCTTTTGAAGTTCGTTTGACTAATTGTAGTTGTTCGAATAGATATTCAAATTGCGCCTGTGTCTTTATGCTGGTCATTTTACTCGGTGGTATGCAGAAACGTAGACCACACGAAAGAGCTTGTAGTTGAAGTTCATTCGTTTAACCGGAGACAAATTCTTCACAAACCTTTCTGGTTGTTTCGGAAAATTTGGTTCGACTAACTTGTGGACGATGGAATTCTGAAGCTTGTTGAATGTACAAAGTTTGGCTTCTCGTATGTTTTCCATGCACAAGTTGGTAAATTTGATTCGGCTAACGAGGCTCAGTTCGTCAAGAATTATTGATCATTCGATGCACGTGGTCTGAAGTGTCGTTAGATTTTCTTTATAATCATCAATCTGACATCGCATCAAACGTCTCAAATTCCTGGTAGAGGCACAGATTTTATTCCACTGTAAGCGTTTGCAAAACGTAATCGGATATCTGTTGCAACGGGCACGTTGTTCCAGAAAATGAATACGGACTCGAGTTGTGGCAATTTCACATCTCAATCTGACTAGGTCATCGAGAGACCTAATGGTTGATTTCGGGAGACGAGATCTGAGGAAATTTAAACATGCTTTTCCCGAAATAATCTTGAAAAGAAAAGCCACAGTTACAACATTGCACGATTCGTGTCCGAGACGATTTCGCTGCATCTGAACATGGTGCACACTGCACAACCATACTGTTTATGTAAGTTCATGTAAAACCATAATTTTCGACAAATATAGGGGAAATTTCAATAGTCAAGTTACGTCACCATGATAAAGACACATGAACAAAGAGCTGTTTGTGCTGACACAATATTAGGTTTCCATGACTGTATGGCAATGGTTTGAACAAACCTCAAAAGCCTGGTATTCTTTGCCACGTAAATGACCCGAAACGCAGTGGTTCGGTCAGCTGGATGTTGCGTCATCAGAAGATGACGAGCGACGGCCGACGGCCGACGGCCGACAGCCGACGACGGGATCTTATGGTTTCGAACGTTGTCATTATGCCTTTGATCTGACCCTGATTGCATCACAAAACGTTGTACCCAATTTGGAATATATTCAATCACTCGGTTACGTAACTGGCGCTCTGTTCGACCCAAGTAGGTTGCTCCGCAACTACACTGAAATTGGTAAATCAGATTCGATTTGGTGTACAGAGGTGGACGTTGTTTCACCGAGGGTGTGGGGATCTCAATCGTTCGATGAATAATTCTGAGGTCAGGTGCATAATATTTGTTTTTGGCAAGCGCTGATCCAAGTGGTCGTTTGAGCAAGCAATTGATGTCATCACGTATGAATGGAAGACAAAGGGTGACTAGTAGTTTTTCTGCTGAACAATTCGTTTGTCTGATCAATTTAGGCTTGCTGTGCTTTTCGATAAACGCATCGGGATAAGCGTTTCTAGTCAAAGATTCTTTCAGCTGTCGTAGTTCGTTGTCAATCATGTCTTCTGTGCAGATATGTCGTGCTGTTTGAAATAGTGTTCGGACCAGACCACGTTCATATTCCACAGACACAAAGCTGTCAAATTGCAAGCATTGGCCTGTCCAAGTTTCTTTTCGGTAAACAGATCTGGCCATTGTTCCATCATTATTCCTAGTCATTTTAATGTCGAGGAAGTGCAGTGTATCTTCGATTTCTGTTTCCATCGTAAATCGTATATTCGGATGCAGGCGATCGAGTTTATCCATAATCCATGTTGTCTCTTCTAGACTTATTGTGATGACTAGAACATGATCAACGTATCGTTTGTAAAGTTGTGAACGTTCGAGGATTTTGCTCGCCTTTTCCTCAAGATGAGCCAAAAACATATGTGCCAGAATGGGGCTCAATGGAGTTCGGATTGCGACACCGTCAATTTGTCTGTAAGCCCAACCAAGGAAGGAGAACGATACGTTTGTTGTGCACAGTAGTAATTGTCGTACCAGAACTGATACTGGTATACCGATTTTCAGTTTGTTTTGCTCCACATGATCACACATGATACGTATGACCTCCCGACCGGGAACATTCGTAAACAGTGATTGGAAATCAAATGAAGCCATGTGCTTCCCTTTCACATTGATCTGGTCCAAAAGCTTTACCACTTCGAAACTGTCTTTTTTATAGTGTGTCTGACCATTGATTTATGAACTGGCTCAAGCAATTTCTCCAGCCATTTGGCCAATTCGTGTTGTGGTGAATTTGTCATAGATAGTAGTAGTATTGGTCCAAGTGGCACTCCGGGTTTGTTTAGTTTCGGTAAACCATACAGTTGTGCACTTCGAGTTTCTTTTGGCTTCAGATGGTGAGCTGTGCTTTCATCGATGAAGTGTCCTTCTAGTAGAAACTGTACTGCTGTCGATATCTGTTGTTCTAGTTCTTTAGGGTCTTCACAGTCATCTTCGAGTACAAACTTGCTGGGATCATGAAGAACACTTTCCATCTTCTTCTCATAATCATTCCGATCGATCAGCACTGCTCCGGACCCCTTGTTAGGGCGTAAAACTAACAAATCAGGTCACAACTGTAGCTCTTCAATGGCGGATGTGAATGTGCTCAGGCGTGAAGAGTGACTTATGTTTGGACGATGTCATCCGGTACTGTCGTTCCAAGTCAACCAGCTTTGCTTTGAACCAAGTCTCCGCATCTTTTGAAGTTCGTTTGACTAATTGTATTTGTTCGAATAGATATTCAAATTGCGCCTGTGTCTTTATGCTGGTCATTTTACTCGGTGGTATGCAGAAACGTAGACCACACGAAAGAGCCTGTAGTTGAAGTTCATTCGTTTAACCGGAGACAAATTCTTCACAAACCTTTCTGGTTGTTTCGGAAAATTTGGTTCGACTAACTTGTGGACGATGGAATTTTGAAGCTTGTTGAATGTACAAAGTTTGGCTTCTCGTATGTTTTCCATGCACAAGTTGGTAAATTTGATTCGGCTAACGAGGCTCAGTTCGTCAAGAATTATTGATCATTCGATGCACGTGGTCTGAAGTGTCGTTAGATTTTCTTTATAATCATCAATCTGACATCGCATCAAACGTCTCAAATTCCTGGTAGAGGCACAGATTTTATTCCTCCGTAAGCGTTTGCAAAACGTAATCGGATATCTGTTGCAACGGGCACGTTGTTCCAGAAAATGAATACGGACTCGAGTTGTGGCAATTTCACATCTCAATCTGACTAGGTCATCGAGAGACCTAATGGTTGATTTCGGGAGACGAGATCTGAGGAAATTTAAACATGCTTTTCCCGAAATAGTCTTGAAAAGAAAAGCCACAGTTGCAACATTGCACGATTCGTGTCCGGGACGATTTCGCTGCATCTGAACATGGTGCACACTGCACAACCATACTGCTTATATAAGTTCATGTAAAACCATAATTTTTCGACAAATATAGGGGAAATTTCAATAGTCAAGTTACGTCACCATGATAAAGACACATGAACAAAGAGCTGTTTGTGCTGACACAATATTAGGTTTCCATGACTGTATGGCAATGGTTTGAACAAACCTCAAAAGCCTGGTATTCTTTGCCACGTAAATGACCCGAAACGCAGTGGTTCGGTCAGCTGGATGTTGCGTCATCAGAAGATGACGAGCGACGGCCGACGGCCGACGGCCGACAGCCGATGACGGGATCTTATGGTTTCGAACGTTGTCATTATGCCTTTGATCTGACCCTGATTGCATCACAAAACGTTGTACCCAATTTGGAATATATTCAATCACTCGGTTACGTAACTGGCGCTCTGTTCGACCCACGTACGTTGCTCCGCAACTACACTGAAATTGGTAAATCAGATTCGATTTGGTGTACATTGGTGGACGTTGTTTCACCGAGGGTGTGGGGATCTCAATCGTTCGATGAATAATTCTGAGGTCAGGTGCATAATATTTGTTTTGGGCAAGCGCTGATCCAAGTGGTCGTTTGAGCAAGCAATTGATGTCATCACGTATGAATGGAAGACAAATGGTGACTAGTAGTTTTTCTGCTGAACAATCCGTTTGTCTGATCAATTTAGGCTTGCTGTGCTTTTCGATAAACGCATCGGGATAAGCGTTTCTAGTCAAAGATTCTTTCAGCTGTCGTAGTTCGTTGTCAATCATGTCTTCTGTGCAGATATGTCGTGCTGTTTGAAATAGTGTTCGGACCAGACCACGTTCATATTCCACAGACACAAAGCTGTCAAATTGCAAGCATTGGCCTGTCCAAGTTTCTTTTCGGTAAACAGATCTGGCCATTGTTCCATCATTCTTCCTAGTCATTTTAATGTCGAGGAAGTGCAGTGTATCTTCGATTTCTGTTTCCATCGTAAATCGTATATTCGGATGCAGGCGATCGAGTTTATCCATAATCCATGTTGTCTCTTCTAGACTTATTGTGATGACTAGAACATGATCAACGTATCGTTTGTAAAGTTGTGAACGTTCGAGGATTTTGCTCGCCTTTTCCTCAAGATGAGCCAAAAACATATGTGCCAGAATGGGGCTCAATGGAGTTCGGATTGCGACACCGTCAATTTGTCTGTAAGCCCAACCAAGGAAGGAGAACGATACGTTTGTTGTGCACAGTAGTAATTGTCGTACCAGAACTGATACTGGTATACCGATTTTCAGTTCGTTTTGCTCCACATGATCACACATGATACGTATGACCTCCCGACCGGGAACATTCGTAAACAGTGATTGGAAATCAAATGAAGCCATGTGCTTCCCTTTCACATTGATCTGGTCCAAAAGCTTTACCACTTCGAAACTGTCTTTTTTATAGTGTGTCTGACCATTGATTTATGAACTGGCTCAAGCAATTTCTCCAGCCATTTGGCCAATTCGTGTTGTGGTGAATTTGTCATAGATAGTAGTAGTATTGGTCCAAGTGGCACTCCGGGTTTGTTTAGTTTCGGTAAACCATACAGTTGTGCACTTCGAGTTCCTTTTGGCTTCAGATGGTGAGCTGTGCTTTCATCGATGAAGTCTCCTTCTAGTAGAAACTGTACTGCTGTCGATATCTGTTGTTCTAGTTCTTTAGGGTCTTCACAGTCATCTTCGAGTACAAACTTGCTGGGATCATGAAGAACACTTTCCATCTTCTTCTCATAATCATTCCGATCGATCAGCACTGCTCCGGACCCCTTGTTAGGGCGTAAAACTAACAAATCAGGTCACAACTGTAGCTCTTCAATGGCGGATGTGAATGTGCTCAGGCGTGAAGAGTGACTTATGTTTGGACGATGTCATCCGGTACTGTCGTTCCAAGTCAACCAGCTTTGCTTTGAACCAAGTCTCCGCATCTTTTGAAGTTCGTTTGACTAATTGTAGTTGTTCGAATAGATATTCAAATTGCGCCTGTGTCTTTATGCTGGTCATTTTACTCGGTGGTATGCAGAAACGTAGACCACACGAAAGAGCTTGTAGTTGAAGTTCATTCGTTTAACCGGAGACAAATTCTTCACAAACCTTTCTGGTTGTTTCGGAAAATTTGGTTCGACTAACTTGTGGACGATGGAATTCTGAAGCTTGTTGAATGTACAAAGTTTGGCTTCTCGTATGTTTTCCATGCACAAGTTGGTAAATTTGATTCGGCTAACGAGGCTCAGTTCGTCAAGAATTATTGATCATTCGATGCACGTGGTCTGAAGTGTCGTTAGATTTTCTTTATAATAATCAATCTGACATCGCATCAAACGTCTCAAATTCCTGGTAGAGGCACAGATTTTATTCCTCTGTAAGCGTTTGCAAAACGTAATCGGATATCTGTTGCAACGGGCACGTTGTTCCAGAAAATGAATACGGACTCGAGTTGTGGCAATTTCACATCTCAATCTGACTAGGTCATCGAGAGACCTAATGGTTGATTTCGGGAGACGAGATCTGAGGAAATTTAAACATGCTTTTCCCGAAATAATCTTGAAAAGAAAAGCCACAGTTGCAACATTGCACGATTCGTGTCCGGGACGATTTCGCTGCATCTGAACATGGTGCACACTGTACAACCATACTGTTTATATAAGTTCATGTAAAACCATAATTTTCGACAAATATAGGGGAAATTTCAATAGTCAAGTTACGTCACCATGATAAAGACACATGAACAAAGAGCTGTTTGTGCTGACACAATATTAGGTTTCCATGAATGTATGGCAATGGTTTGAACAAACCTCAAAAGCCTGGTATTCTTTGCCACGTAAATGACCCGAAACGCAGTGCTTCGGTCAGCTGGATGTTGCGTCATCAGAAGAGGACGAGCGACGGCCGACGGCCGACGGCCGACAGCCGACGACGGGATCTTATGGTTTCGAACGTTGTCATTATGCCTTTGATCTGACCCTGATTGCATCACAAAACGTTGTACCCAATTTGGAATATATTCAATCACTCGGTTACGTAACTGGCGCTCTGTTCGACCCACGTACGTTGCTCCGCAACTACACTGAAATTGGTAAATCAGATTCGATTTGGTGTACATTGGTGGACGTTGTTTCACCGAGGGTGTGGGGATCTCAATCGTTCGATGAATAATTCTGAGGTCAGGTGCATAATATTTGTTTTGGGCAAGCGCTGATCCAAGTGGTCGTTTGAGCAAGCAATTGATGTCATCACGTATGAATGGAAGACAAAGGGTGACTAGTAGTTTTTCTGCTGAACAATTCGTTTGTCTGATCAATTTAGGCTTGCTGTGCTTTTCGATAAACGCATCGGGATAAGCGTTTCTAGTCAAAGATTCTTTCAGCTGTCGTAGTTCGTTGTCAATCATGTCTTCTGTGCATATATGTCGTGCTGTTTGAAATAGTGTTCGGACCAGACCACGTTCATATTCCACAGACACAAAGCTGTCAAATTGCAAGCATTGGCCTGTCCAAGTTTCTTTTCGGTAAACAGATCTGGCCATTGTTCCATCATTATTCCTAGTGATTTTAATGTCGAGGAAGTGCAGTGTATCTTCGATTTCTGTTTCCATCGTAAATCGTATATTCGGATGCAGGCGATCGAGTTTATCCATAATCCATGTTGTCTCTTCTAGACTTATTAAGATGACTAGAACATGATCAACGTATCGTTTGTAAAGTTGTGAACGTTCGAGGATTTTGCTCGCCTTTTCCTCAAGATGAGCCAAAAACATATGTGCCAGAATGGGGCTCAATGGAGTTCGGATTGCGACACCGTCAATTTGTCTGTAAGCCCAACCAAGGAAGGAGAACGATACGTTTGTTGTGCACAGTAGTAATTGTCGTACCAGAACTGATACTGGTATACCGATTTTCAGTTCGTTTTGCTCCACATGATCACACATGATACGTATGACCTCCCGACCGGGAACATTCGTAAACAGTGATTGGAAATCAAATGAAGCCATGTGCTTCCCTTTCACATTGATCTGGTCCAAAAGCTTTACCACTTCGAAACTGTCTTTTTTATAGTGTGTCTGACCATTGATTTATGAACTGGCTCAAGCAATTTCTCCAGCCATTTGGCCAATTCGTGTTGTGGTGAATTTGTCATAGATAGTAGTAGTATTGGTCCAAGTGGCACTCCGGGTTTGTTTAGTTTCGGTAAACCATACAGTTGTGCACTTCGAGTTCCTTTTGGCTTCAGATGGTGAGCTGTGCTTTCATCGATGAAGTGTCCTTCTAGTAGAAACTGTACTGCTGTCGATATCTGTTGTTCTAGTTCTTTAGGGTCTTCACAGTCATCTTCGAGTACAAACTTGCTGGGATCATGAAGAACACTTTCCATCTTCTTCTCATAATCATTCCGATCGATCAGCACTGCTCCGGACCCCTTGTTAGGGCGTAAAACTAACAAATCAGGTCACAACTGTAGCTCTTCAATGGCGGATGTGAATGTGCTCAGGCGTGAAGAGTGACTTATGTTTGGACGATGTCATCCGGTACTGTCGTTCCAAGTCAACCAGCTTTGCTTTGAACCAAGTCTCCGCATCTTTTGAAGTTCGTTTGACTAATTGTAGTTGTTCGAATAGATATTCGAATTGCGCCTGTGTCTTTATGCTGGTCATTTTACTCGGTGGTATGCAGAAACGTAGACCACACGAAAGAGCTTGTAGTTGAAGTTCATTCGTTTAACCGGAGACAAATTCTTCACAAACCTTTCTGGTTGTTTCGGAAAATTTGGTTCGACTAACTTGTGGACGATGGAATTTTGAAGCTTGTTGAATGTACAAAGTTTGGCTTCTCGTATGTTTTCCATGCACAAGTTGGTAAATTTGATTCGGCTAACGAGGCTCAGTTCGTCAAGAATTATTGATCATTCGATGCACGTGGTCTGAAGTGTCGTTAGATTTTCTTTATAATCATCAATCTGACATCGCATCAAACGTCTCAAATTCCTGGTAGAGGCACAGATTTTATTCCTCCGTAAGCGTTTGCAAAACGTAATCGGATATCTGTTGCAACGGGCACGTTGTTCCAGAAAATGAATACGGACTCGAGTTGTGGCAATTTCACATCTCAATCTGACTAGGTCATCGAGAGACCTAATGGTTGATTTCGGGAGACGAGATCTGAGGAAATTTAAACATGCTTTTCCCGAAATAGTCTTGAAAAGAAAAGCCACAGTTGCAACATTGCACGATTCGTGTCCGGGACGATTTCGCTGCATCTGAACATGGTGCACACTGTACAACCATACTGTTTATATAAGTTCATGTTAAACCTGCATTTTTCGACAAATATAGGGGAAATTTCAATAGTCAAGTTACGTCACCATGATAAAGACACATGAACAAAGAGCTGTTTGTGCTGACACAATATTAGGTTTCCATGAATGTATGGCAATGGTTTGAACAAACCTCAAAAGCCTGGTATTCTTTTCCACGTAAATGACCCGAAACGCAGTGGTTCGGTCAGCTGGATGTTGCGTCATCAGAAGATGACGAGCGACGGCCGACGGCCGACGGCCGACAGCCGACGACGGGATCTTATGTTTTCGAACGTTGCCATTATGCCTTTGATCTGACCCTGATTGCATCACAAAACGTTGTACCCAATTTGGAATATATTCAATCACTCGGTTACGTAACTGGCGCTCTGTTCGACCCACGTACGTTGCTCCGCAACTACACTGAAATTGGTAAATCAGATTCGATTTGGTGTACAGAGGTGGACGTTGTTTCACCGAGGGTGTGGGGATCTCAATCGTTCGATGAATAATTCTGAGGTCAGGTGCATAATATTTGTTTTGGGCAAGCGCTGATCCAAGTGGTCGTTTGAGCAAGCAATTGATGTCATCACGTATGAATGGAAGACAAAGGGTGACTAGTAGTTTTTCTGCTGAACAATTCGTTTGTCTGATCAATTTAGGCTTGCTGTGCTTTTCGATAAACGCATCGGGATAAGCGTTTCTAGTCAAAGATTCTTTCAGCTGTCGTAGTTCGTTGTCAATCATGTCTTCTGTGCAGATATGTCGTGCTGTTTGAAATAGTGTTCGGACCAGACCACGTTCATATTCCACAGACACAAAGCTGTCAAATTGCAAGCATTGGCCTGTCCAGGTTTCTTTTCGGTAAACAGATCTGGCCATTGTTCCATCATTATTCCTAGTCATTTTAATGTCGAGGAAGTGCAGTGTATCTTCGATTTCTGTTTCCATCGTAAATCGTATATTCGGATGCAGACGATCGAGTTTATCCATAATCCATGTTGTCTCTTCTAGACTTATTGTGATGACTAGAACATGATCAAGGTATCGTTTATAAAGTTGTGAACGTTCGAGGATTTTGCTCGCCTTTTCCTCAAGATGAGCCAAAAACATATGTGCCAGAATGGGGCTCAATGGAGTTCGGATTGCGACACCGTCAATTTGTCTGTAAGCCCAACCAAGGAAGGAGAACGATACGTTTGTTGTGCACAGTAGTAATTGTCGTACCAGAACTGATACTGGTATACCGATTTTCAGTTTGTTTTGCTCCACATGATCACACATGATACGTATGACCTCCCGACCGGGAACATTCGTAAACAGTGATTGGAAATCAAATGAAGCCATGTGCTTCCCTTTCACATTGATCTGGTCCAAAAGCTTTACCACTTCGAAACTGTCTTTTTTATAGTGTGTCTGACCATTGATTTATGAACTGGCTCAAGCAATTTCTCCAGCCATTTGGCCAATTCGTGTTGTGGTGAATTTGTCATAGATAGTAGTAGTATTGGTCCAAGTGGCACTCCGGGTTTGTTTAGTTTCGGTAAACCATACAGTTGTGCACTTCGAGTTTCTTTTGGCTTCAGATGGTGAGCTGTGCTTTCATCGATGAAGTGTCCTTCTAGTAGAAACCGTACTGCTGTCGATATCTGTTGTTCTAGTTCTTTAGGGTCTTCACAGTCATCTTCGAGTACAAACTTGCTGGGATCATGAAGAACACTTTCCATCTTCTTCTCATAATCATTCCGATCGATCAGCACTGCTCCGGACCCCTTGTTAGGGCGTAAAACTAACAAATCAGGTCACAACTGTAGCTCTTCAATGGCGGATGTGAATGTGCTCAGGCGTGAAGAGTGACTTATGTTTGGACGATGTCATCCGGTACTGTCGTTCCAAGTCAACCAGCTTTGCTTTGAACCAAGTCTCCGCATCTTTTGAAGTTCGTTTGACTAATTGTAGTTGTTCGAATAGATATTCAAATTGCGCCTGTGTCTTTATGCTGGTCATTTTACTCGGTGGTATGCAGAAACGTAGACCACACGAAAGAGCTTGTAGTTGAAGTTCATTCGTTTAACCGGAGACAAATTCTTCACAAACCTTTCTGGTTGTTTCGGAAAATTTGGTTCGACTAACTTGTGGACGATGGAATTTTGAAGCTTGTTGAATGTACAAAGTTTGGCTTCTCGTATGTTTTCCATGCACAAGTTGGTAAATTTGATTCGGCTAACGAGGCTCAGTTCGTCAAGAATTATTGATCATTCGATGCACGTGGTCTGAAGTGTCGTTAGATTTTCTTTATAATCATCAATCTGACATCGCATCAAACGTCTCAAATTCCTGGTAGAGGCACAGATTTTATTCCTCCGTAAGCGTTTGCAAAACGTAATCGGATATCTGTTGCAACGGGCACGTTGTTCCAGAAAATGAATACGGACTCGAGTTGTGGCAATTTCACATCTCAATCTGACTAGGTCATCGAGAGACCTAATGGTTGATTTCGGGAGACGAGATCTGAGGAAATTTAAACATGCTTTTCCCGAAATAGTCTTGAAAAGAAAAGCCACAGTTGCAACATTGCACGATTCGTGTCCGGGACGATTTCGCTGCATCTGAACATGGTGCACACTGTACAACCGTACTGTTTATATAAGTTCATGTTAAACCTGCATTTTTCGACAAATATAGGGGAAATTTCAATAGTCAAGTTACGTCACCATAATAAAGACACATGAACAAAGAGCTGTTTGTGCTGACACAATATTAGGTTTCCATGAATGTATGGCAATGGTTTGAACAAACCTCAAAAGCCTGGTATTCTTTGCCACGTAAATGACCCGAAACGCAGTGGTTCGGTCAGCTGGATGTTGCGTCATCAGAAGATGACGAGCGACGGCCGATGGCCGACGGCCGACAGCCGACGACGGGATCTTATGTTTTCGAACGTTGTCATTATGCCTTTGATCTGACCCTGATTGCATCACAAAACGTTGTACCCAATTTGGAATATATTCAATCACTCGGTTACGTAACTGGCGCTCTGTTCGACCCACGTAGGTTGCTTCGCAACTACACTGAAATTGGTAAATCAGATTCGATTTGGTGTACATTGGTGGACGTTGTTTCACCGAGGGTGTGGGGATCTCAATCGTTCGATGAATAATTCTGAGGTCAGGTGCATAATATTTGTTTTTGGCAAGCGCTGATCCAAGTGGTCGTTTGAGCAAGCAATTGATGTCATCACGTATGAATGGAAGACAAATGGTGACTAGTAGTTTTTCTGCTGAACAATTCGTTTGTCTGATCAATTTAGGCTTGCTGTGCTTTTCGATAAACGCATCGGGATAAGCGTTTCTAGTCAAAGATTCTTTCAGCTGTCGTAGTTCGTTGTCAATCATGTCTTCTGTGCATATATGTCGTGCTGTTTGAAATAGTGTTCGGACCAGACCACGTTCATATTCCACAGACACAAAGCTGTCAAATTGCAAGCATCGGCCTGTCCAGGTTTCCTTTCGGTAAACAGATCTGGCCATTGTTCCATCATTATTCCTAGTGATTTTAATGTCGAGGAAGTGCAGTGTATCTTCGATTTCTGTTTCCATCGTAAATCGTATATTCGGATGCAGACGATCGAGTTTATCCATAATCCATGTTGTCTCTTCTAGACTTATTGTGATGACTAGAACATGATCAACGTATCGTTTGTAAAGTTGTGAACGTTCGAGGATTTTGCTCGCCTTTTCCTCAAGATGAGCCAAAAACATATGTGCCAGAATGGGGCTCAATGGAGTTCGGATTGCGACACCGTCAATTTGTCTGTAAGCCCAACCAAGGAAGGAGAACGATACGTTTGTTGTGCACAGTAGTAATTGTCGTACCAGAACTGATACTGGTATACCGATTTTCAGTTCGTTTTGCTCCACATGATCACACATGATACGTATGACCTCCCGACCGGGAACATTCGTAAACAGTGATTGGAAATCAAATGAAGCCATGTGCTTCCCTTTCACATTGATCTGGTCCAAAAGCTTTACCACTTCGAAACTGTCTTTTTTATAGTGTGTCTGACCATTGATTTATGAACTGGCTCAAGCAATTTCTCCAGCCATTTGGCCAATTCGTGTTGTGGTGAATTTGTCATAGATAGTAGTAGTATTGGTCCAAGTGGCACTCCGGGTTTGTTTAGTTTCGGTAAACCATACAGTTGTGCACTTCGAGTTCCTTTTGGCTTCAGATGGTGAGCTGTGCTTTCATCGATGAAGTGTCCTTCTAGTAGAAACTGTACTGCGGTCGATATCTGTTGTTCTAGTTCTTTAGGGTCTTCACAGTCATCTTCGAGTACAAACTTGCTGGGATCATGAAGAACACTTTCCATCTTCTTCTCATAATCATTCCGATCGATCAGCACTGCTCCGGACCCCTTGTTAGGGCGTAAAACTAACAAATCAGGTCACAACTGTAGCTCTTCAATGGCGGATGTGAATGTGCTCAGGCGTGAAGAGTGACTTATGTTTGGACGATGTCATCCGGTACTGTCGTTCCAAGTCAACCAGCTTTGCTTTGAACCAAGTCTCCGCATCTTTTGAAGTTCGTTTGACTAATTGTATTTGTTCGAATAGATATTCAAATTGCGCCTGTGTCTTTATGCTGGTCATTTTACTCGGTGGTATGCAGAAACGTAGACCACACGAAAGAGCTTGTAGTTGAAGTTCATTCGTTTAACCGGAGACAAATTCTTCACAAACCTTTCTGGTTGTTTCGGAAAATTTGGTTCGACTAACTTGTGGACGATGGAATTTTGAAGCTTGTTGAATGTACAAAGTTTGGCTTCTCGTATGTTTTCCATGCACAAGTTGGTAAATTTGATTCGGCTAACGAGGCTCAGTTCGTCAAGAATTATTGATCATTCGATGCACGTGGTCTGAAGTGTCGTTAGATTTTCTTTATAATCATCAATCTGACATCGCATCAAACGTCTCAAATTCCTGGTAGAGGCACAGATTTTATTCCTCCGTAAGCGTTTGCAAAACGTAATCGGATATCTGTTGCAACGGGCACGTTGTTCCAGAAAATGAATACGGACTCGAGTTGTGGCAATTTCACATCTCAATCTGACTAGGTCATCGAGAGACCTAATGGTTGATTTCGGGAGACGAGATCTGAGGAAATTTAAACATGCTTTTCCCGAAATAATCTTGAAAAGAAAAGCCACAGTTGCAACATTGCACGATTCGTGTCCGGGACGATTTCGCTGCATCTGAACATGGTGCACACTGTACAACCATACTGTTTATATAAGTTCATGTAAAACCATAATTTTCGACAAATATAGGGGAAATTTCAATAGTCAAGTTACGTCACCATGATAAAGACACATGAACAAAGAGCTGTTTGTGCTGACACAATATTAGGTTTCCATGAATGTATGGCAATGGTTTGAACAAACCTCAAAAGCCTGGTATTCTTTGCCACGTAAATGACCCGAAACGCAGTGCTTCGGTCAGCTGGATGTTGCGTCATCAGAAGAGGACGAGCGACGGCCGACGGCCGACGGCCGACAGCCGACGACGGGATCTTATGTTTTCGAACGTTGTCATTATGCCTTTGATCTGACCCTGATTGCATCACAAAACGTTGTACCCAATTTGGAATATATTCAATCACTCGGTTACGTAACTGGCGCTCTGTTCGACCCACGTAGGTTGCTTCGCAACTACACTGAAATTGGTAAATCAGATTCGATTTGGTGTACATTGGTGGACGTTGTTTCACCGAGGGTGTGGGGATCTCAATCGTTCGATGAATAATTCTGAGGTCAGGTGCATAATATTTGTTTTGGGCAAGCGCTGATCCAAGTGGTCGTTTGAGCAAGCAATTGATGTCATCACGTATGAATGGAAGACAAATGGTGACTAGTAGTTTTTCTGCTGAACAATTCGTTTGTCTGATCAATTTAGGCTTGCTGTGCTTTTCGATAAACGCATCGGGATAAGCGTTTCTAGTCAAAGATTCTTTCAGCTGTCGTAGTTTGTTGTCAATCATGTCTTCTGTGCATATATGTCGTGCTGTTTGAAATAGTGTTCGGACCAGACCACGTTCATATTCCACAGACACAAAGCTGTCAAATTGCAAGCATTGGCCTGTCCAGGTTTCTTTTCGGTAAACAGATCTGGCCATTGTTCCATCATTATTCCTAGTCATTTTAATGTCGAGGAAGTGCAGTGTATCTTCGATTTCTGTTTCCATCGTAAATCGGATGCAGACGATCGAGTTTATCCATAATCCATGTTGTCTCTTCTAGACTTATTGTGATGACTAGAACATGATCAACGTATCGTTTATAAAGTTGTGAACGTTCGAGGATTTTGCTCGCCTTTTCCTCAAGATGAGCCAAAAACATATGTGCCAGAATGGGGCTCAATGGAGTTCCGATTGCGACACCGTCAATTTGTCTGTAAGCCCAACCAAGGAAGGAGAACGATACGTTTGTTGTGCACAGTAGTAATTGTCGTACCAGAACTGATACTGGTATACCGATTTTCAGTTCGTTTTGCTCCACATGATCACACATGATACGTATGACCTCCCGACCGGGAACATTCGTAAACAGTGATTGGAAATCAAATGAAGCCATGTGCTTCCCTTTCACATTGATCTGGTCCAAAAGCTTTACCACTTCGAAACTGTCTTTTTTATAGTGTGTCTGACCATTGATTTATGAACTGGCTCAAGCAATTTCTCCAGCCATTTGGCCAATTCGTGTTGTGGTGAATTTGTCATAGATAGTAGTAGTATTGGTCCAAGTGGCACTCCGGGTTTGTTTAGTTTCGGTAAACCATACAGTTGTGCACTTCGAGTTCCTTTTGGCTTCAGATGGTGAGCTGTGCTTTCATCGATGAAGTGTCCTTCTAGTAGAAACTGTACTGCTGTCGATATCTGTTGTTCTAGTTCTTTAGGGTCTTCACAGTCATCTTCGAGTACAAACTTGCTGGGATCATGAAGAACACTTTCCATCTTCTTCTCATAATCATTCCGATCGATCAGCACTGCTCCGGACCCCTTGTTAGGGCGTAAAACTAACAAATCAGGTCACAACTGTAGCTCTTCAATGGCGGATGTGAATGTGCTCAGGCGTGAAGAGTGACTTATGTTTGGACGATGTCATCCGGTACTGTCGTTCCAAGTCAACCAGCTTTGCTTTGAACCAAGTCTCCGCATCTTTTGAAGTTCGTTTGACTAATTGTAGTTGTTCGAATAGATATTCAAATTGCGCCTGTGTCTTTATGCTGGTCATTTTACTCGGTGGTATGCAGAAACGTAGACCACACGAAAGAGCCTGTAGTTGAAGTTCATTCGTTTAACCGGAGACAAATTCTTCACAAACCTTTCTGGTTGTTTCGGAGAATTTGGTTCGACTAACTTGTGGACGATGGAATTCTGAAGCTTGTTGAATGTACAAAGTTTGGCTTCTCGTATGTTTTCCATGCACAAGTTGGTAAATTTGATTCGGCTAACGAGGCTCAGTTCGTCAAGAATTATTGATCATTCGATGCACGTGGTCTGAAGTGTCGTTAGATTTTCTTTATAATCATCAATCTGACATCGCATCAAACGTCTCAAATTCCTGGTAGAGGCACATATTTTATTCCTCTGTAAGCGTTTGCAAAACGTAATCGGATATCTGTTGCAACGGGCACGTTGTTCCAGAAAATGATTACGGACTCGTGTTGTGGCAATTTCACATCTCAATCTGACTAGGTCATCGAGAGACCTAATGGTTGATTTCGGGAGACGAGATCTGAGGAAATTTAAACATGCTTTTCCCGAAATAGTCTTGAAAAGAAAAGCCACAGTTGCAACATTGCACGATTCGTGTCCGGGACGATTTCGCTGCATCTGAACATGGTGCACACTGTACAACCATACTGTTTATATAAGTTCATGTAAAACCATAATTTTCGACAAATATAGGGGAAATTTCAATAGTCAAGTTACGTCACCATGATAAAGACACATGAACAAAGAGCTGTTTGTGCTGACACAATATTAGGTTTCCATGAATGTATGGCAATGGTTTGAACAAACCTCAAAAGCCTGGTATTCTTTGCCACGTAAATGACCCGAAACGCAGTGGTTCGGTCAGCTGGATGTTGCGTCATCAGAAGAGGACGAGCGACGGCCGACGGCCGACGGCCGACAGCCGACGACGGGATCTTATGTTTTCGAACGTTGTCATTATGCCTTTGATCTGACCCTGATTGCATCACAAAACGTTGTACCCAATTTGGAATATATTCAATCACTCGGTTACGTAACTGGCGCTCTGTTCGACCCACGTAGGTTGCTTCGCAACTACACTGAAATTGGTAAATCAGATTCGATTTGGTGTACATTGGTGGACGTTGTTTCACCGAGGGTGTGGGGATCTCAATCGTTCGATGAATAATTCTGAGGTCAGGTGCATAATATTTGTTTTGGGCAAGCGCTGATCCAAGTGGTCGTTTGAGCAAGCAATTGATGTCATCACGTATGAATGGAAGACAAATGGTGACTAGTAGTTTTTCTGCTGAACAATTCGTTTGTCTGATCAATTTAGGCTTGCTGTGCTTTTCGATAAACGCATCGGGATAAGCGTTTCTAGTCAAAGATTCTTTCAGCTGTCGTAGTTTGTTGTCAATCATGTCTTCTGTGCATATATGTCGTGCTGTTTGAAATAGTGTTCGGACCAGACCACGTTCATATTCCACAGACACAAAGCTGTCAAATTGCAAGCATTGGCCTGTCCAGGTTTCTTTTCGGTAAACAGATCTGGCCATTGTTCCATCATTATTCCTAGTCATTTTAATGTCGAGGAAGTGCAGTGTATCTTCGATTTCTGTTTCCATCGTAAATCGGATGCAGACGATCGAGTTTATCCATAATCCATGTTGTCTCTTCTAGACTTATTGTGATGACTAGAACATGATCAACGTATCGTTTGTAAAGTTGTGAACGTTCGAGGATTTTGCTCGCCTTTTCCTCAAGATGAGCCAAAAACATATGTGCCAGAATGGGGCTCAATGGAGTTCCGATTGCGACACCGTCAATTTGTCTGTAAGCCCAACCAAGGAAGGAGAACGATACGTTTGTTGTGCACAGTAGTAATTGTCGTACCAGAACTGATACTGGTATACCGATTTTCAGTTCGTTTTGCTCCACATGATCACACATGATACGTATGACCTCCCGACCGGGAACATTCGTAAACAGTGATTGGAAATCAAATGAAGCCATGTGCTTCCCTTTCACATTGATCTGGTCCAAAAGCTTTACCACTTCGAAACTGTCTTTTTTATAGTGTGTCTGACCATTGATTTATGAACTGGCTCAAGCAATTTCTCCAGCCATTTGGCCAATTCGTGTTGTGGTGAATTTGTCATAGATAGTAGTAGTATTGGTCCAAGTGGCACTCCGGGTTTGTTTAGTTTCGGTAAACCATACAGTTGTGCACTTCGAGTTCCTTTTGGCTTCAGATGGTGAGCTGTGCTTTCATCGATGAAGTGTCCTTCTAGTAGAAACTGTACTGCTGTCGATATCTGTTGTTCTAGTTCTTTAGGGTCTTCACAGTCATCTTCGAGTACAAACTTGCTGGGATCATGAAGAACACTTTCCATCTTCTTCTCATAATCATTCCGATCGATCAGCACTGCTCCGGACCCCTTGTTAGGGCGTAAAACTAACAAATCAGGTCACAACTGTAGCTCTTCAATGGCGGATGTGAATGTGCTCAGGCGTGAAGAGTGACTTATGTTTGGACGATGTCATCCGGTACTGTCGTTCCAAGTCAACCAGCTTTGCTTTGAACCAAGTCTCCGCATCTTTTGAAGTTCGTTTGACTAATTGTAGTTGTTCGAATAGATATTCAAATTGCGCCTGTGTCTTTATGCTGGTCATTTTACTCGGTGGTATGCAGAAACGTAGACCACACGAAAGAGCCTGTAGTTGAAGTTCATTCGTTTAACCGGAGACAAATTCTTCACAAACCTTTCTGGTTGTTTCGGAGAATTTGGTTCGACTAACTTGTGGACGATGGAATTCTGAAGCTTGTTGAATGTACAAAGTTTGGCTTCTCGTATGTTTTCCATGCACAAGTTGGTAAATTTGATTCGGCTAACGAGGCTCAGTTCGTCAAGAATTATTGATCATTCGATGCACGTGGTCTGAAGTGTCGTTAGATTTTCTTTATAATCATCAATCTGACATCGCATCAAACGTCTCAAATGCCTGGTAGAGGCACATATTTTATTCCTCTGTAAGCGTTTGCAAAACGTAATCGGATATCTGTTGCAACGGGCACGTTGTTCCAGAAAATGATTACGGACTCGTGTTGTGGCAATTTCACATCTCAATCTGACTAGGTCATCGAGAGACCTAATGGTTGATTTCGGGAGACGAGATCTGAGGAAATTTAAACATGCTTTTCCCGAAATAGTCTTGAAAAGAAAAGCCACAGTTGCAACATTGCACGATTCGTGTCCGGGACGATTTCGCTGCATCTGAACATGGTGCACACTGTACAACCATACTGTTTATATAAGTTCATGTAAAACCATAATTTTCGACAAATATAGGGGAAATTTCAATAGTCAAGTTACGTCACCATGATAAAGACACATGAACAAAGAGCTGTTTGTGCTGACACAATATTAGGTTTCCATGAATGTATGGCAATGGTTTGAACAAACCTCAAAAGCCTGGTATTCTTTGCCACGTAAATGACCCGAAACGCAGTGCTTCGGTCAGCTGGATGTTGCGTCATCAGAAGATGACGAGCGACGGCCGACGGCCGACGGCCGACAGCCGACGACGGGATCTTATGGTTTCGAACGTTGTCATTATGCCTTTGAGCTGACCCTGATTGCATCACAAAACGTTGTACCCAATTTGGAATATATTCAATCACTCGGTTACGTAACTGGCGCTCTGTTCGACCCACGTACGTTGCTCCGCAACTACACTGAAATTGGTAAATCAGATTCGATTTGGTGTACAGAGGTGGACGTTGTTTCACCGAGGGTGTGGGGATCTCAATCGTTCGATGAATAATTCTGAGGTCAGGTGCATAATATTTGTTTTGGGCAAGCGCTGATCCAAGTGGTCGTTTGAGCAAGCAATTGATGTCATCACGTATGAATGGAAGACAAATGGTGACTAGTAGTTTTTCTGCTGAACAATTCGTTTGTCTGATCAATTTAGGCTTGCTGTGCTTTTCGATAAACGCATCGGGATAAGCGTTTCTAGTCAAAGATTCTTTCAGCTGTCGTAGTTCGTTGTCAATCATGTCATCTGTGCATATATGTCGTGCTGTTTGAAATAGTGTTCGGACCAGACCACGTTCATATTCCACAGACACAAAGCTGTCAAATTGCAAGCATTGGCCTGTCCAAGTTTCTTTTCGGTAAACAGATCTGGCCATTGTTCCATCATTATTCCTAGTGATTTTAATGTCGAGGAAGTGCAGTGTATCTTCGATTTCTGTTTCCATCGTAAATCGTATATTCGGATGCAGGCGATCGAGTTTATCCATAATCCATGTTGTCTCTTTTAGACTTATTGTGATGACTAGAACATGATCAACGTATCGTTTGTAAAGTTGTGAACGTTCGAGGATTTTGCTCGCCTTTTCCTCAAGATGAGCCAAAAACATATGTGCCAGAATGGGGCTCAATGGAGTTCGGATTGCGACACCGTCAATTTGTCTGTAAGCCCAACCAAGGAAGGAGAACGATACGTTTGTTGTGCACAGTAGTAATTGTCGTACCAGAACTGATACTGGTATACCGATTTTCAGTTCGTTTTGCTCCACATGATCACACATGATACGTATGACCTCCCGACCGGGAACATTCGTAAACAGTGATTGGAAATCAAATGAAGCCATGTGCTTCCCTTTCACATTGATCTGGTCCAAAAGCTTTACCACTTCGAAACTGTCTTTTTTATAGTGTGTCTGACCATTGATTTATGAACTGGCTCAAGCAATTTCTCCAGCCATTTGGCCAATTCGTGTTGTGGTGAATTTGTCATAGATAGTAGTAGTATTGGTCCAAGTGGCACTCCGGGTTTGTTTAGTTTCGGTAAACCATACAGTTGTGCACTTCGAGTTCCTTTTGGCTTCAGATGGTGAGCTGTGCTTTCATCGATGAAGTGTCCTTCTAGTAGAAACTGTACTGCTGTCGATATCTGTTGTTCTAGTTCTTTAGGGTCTTCACAGTCATCTTCGAGTACAAACTTGCTGGGATCATGAAGAACACTTTCCATCTTCTTCTCATAATCATTCCGATCGATCAGCACTGCTCCGGACCCCTTGTTAGGGCGTAAAACTAACAAATCAGGTCACAACTGTAGCTCTTCAATGGCGGATGTGAATGTGCTCAGGCGTGAAGAGTGACTTATGTTTGGACGATGTCATCCGGTACTGTCGTTCCAAGTCAACCAGCTTTGCTTTGAACCAAGTCTCCGCATCTTTTGAAGTTCGTTTGACTAATTGTAGTTGTTCGAATAGATATTCAAATTGCGCCTGTGTCTTTATGCTGGTCATTTTACTCGGTGGTATGCAGAAACGTAGACCACACGAAAGAGCTTGTAGTTGAAGTTCATTCGTTTAACCGGAGACAAATTCTTCACAAACCTTTCTGGTTGTTTCGGAGAATTTGGTTCGACTAACTTGTGGACGATGGAATTCTGAAGCTTGTTGAATGTACAAAGTTTGGCTTCTCGTATGTTTTCCATGCACAAGTTGGTAAATTTGATTCGGCTAACGAGGCTCAGTTCGTCAAGAATTATTGATCATTCGATGCACGTGGTCTGAAGTGTCGTTAGATTTTCTTTATAATAATCAATCTGACATCGCATCAAACGTCTCAAATTCCTGGTAGAGGCACAGATTTTATTCCTCTGTAAGCGTTTGCAAAACGTAATCGGATATCTGTTGCAACGGGCACGTTGTTCCAGAAAATGAATACGGACTCGAGTTGTGGCAATTTCACATCTCAATCTGACTAGGTCATCGAGAGACCTAATGGTTGATTTCGGGAGACGAGATCTGAGGAAATTTAAACATGCTTTTCCCGAAATAATCTTGAAAAGAAAAGCCACAGTTGCAACATTGCACGATTCGTGTCCGGGACGATTTCGCTGCATCTGAACATGGTGCACACTGTACAACCATACTGTTTATATAAGTTCATGTAAAACCATAATTTTCGACAAATATAGGGGAAATTTCAATAGTCAAGTTACGTCACCATGATAAAGACACATGAACAAAGAGCTGTTTGTGCTGACACAATATTAGGTTTCCATGAATGTATGGGAATGGTTTGAACAAACCTCAAAAGCCTGGTATTCTTTGCCACGTAAATGACCCGAAACGCAGTGGTTCGGTCAGCTGGATGTTGCGTCATCAGAAGAGGACGAGCGACGGCCGACGGCCGACGGCCGACAGCCGACGACGGGATCTTATGGTTTCGAACGTTGTCATTATGCCTTTGATCTGACCCTGATTGCATCACAAAACGTTGTACCCAATTTGGAATATATTCAATCACTCGGTTACGTAACTGGCGCTCTGTTCGACCCACGTAGGTTGCTCCGCAACTACACTGAAATTGGTAAATCAGATTCGATTTGGTGTACAGAGGTGGACGTTGTTTCACCGAGGGTGTGGGGATCTCAATCGTTCGATGAATAATTCTGAGGTCAGGTGCATAATATTTGTTTTGGGCAAGCGCTGATCCAAGTGGTCGTTTGAGCAAGCAATTGATGTCATCACGTATGAATGGAAGACAAATGGTGACTAGTAGTTTTTCTGCTGAACAATTCGTTTGTCTGATCAATTTAGGCTTGCTGTGCTTTTCGATAAACGCATCGGGATAAGCGTTTCTAGTCAAAGATTCTTTCAGCTGTCGTAGTTCGTTGTCAATCATGTCTTCTGTGCATATATGTCGTGCTGTTTGAAATAGTGTTCGGACCAGACCACGTTCATATTCCACAGACACAAAGCTGTCAAATTGCAAGCATTGGCCTGTCCAAGTTTCTTTTCGGTAAACAGATCTGGCCATTGTTCCATCATTATTCCTAGTGATTTTAATGTCGAGGAAGTGCAGTGTATCTTCGATTTCTGTTTCCATCGTAAATCGTATATTCGGATGCAGGCGATCGAGTTTATCCATAATCCATGTTGTCTCTTCTAGACTTATTGTGATGACTAGAACATGATCAACGTATCGTTTGTAAAGTTGTGAACGTTCGAGGATTTTGCTCGCCTTTTCCTCAAGATGAGCCAAAAACATATGTGCCAGAATGGGGCTCAATGGAGTTCGGATTGCGACACCGTCAATTTGTCTGTAAGCCCAACCAAGGAAGGAGAACGATACGTTTGTTGTGCACAGTAGTAATTGTCGTACCAGAACTGATACTGGTATACCGATTTTCAGTTCGTTTTGCTCCACATGATCACACATGATACGTATGACCTCCCGACCGGGAACATTCGTAAACAGTGATTGGAAATCAAATGAAGCCATGTGCTTCCCTTTCACATTGATCTGGTCCAAAAGCTTTACCACTTCGAAACTGTCTTTTTTATAGTGTGTCTGACCATTGATTTATGAACTGGCTCAAGCAATTTCTCCAGCCATTTGGCCAATTCGTGTTGTGGTGAATTTGTCATAGATAGTAGTAGTATTGGTCCAAGTGGCACTCCGGGTTTGTTTAGTTTCGGTAAACCATACAGTTGTGCACTTCGAGTTCCTTTTGGCTTCAGATGGTGAGCTGTGCTTTCATCGATGAAGTGTCCTTCTAGTAGAAATTGTACTGCTGTCGATATCTGTTGTTCTAGTTCTTTAGGGTCTTCACAGTCATCTTCGAGTACAAACTTGCTGGGATCATGAAGAACACTTTCCATCTTCTTCTCATAATCATTCCGATCGATCAGCACTGCTCCGGACCCCTTGTTAGGGCGTAAAACTAACAAATCAGGTCACAACTGTAGCTCTTCAATGGCGGATGTGAATGTGCTCAGGCGTGAAGAGTGACTTATGTTTGGACGATGTCATCCGGTACTGTCGTTCCAAGTCAACCAGCTTTGCTTTGAACCAAGTCTCCGCATCTTTTGAAGTTCGTTTGACTAATTGTAGTTGTTCGAATAGATATTCGAATTGCGCCTGTGTCTTTATGCTGGTCATTTTACTCGGTGGTATGCAGAAACGTAGACCACACGAAAGAGCCTGTAGTTGAAGTTCATTCGTTTAACCGGAGACAAATTCTTCACGAACCTTTCTGGTTGTTTCGGAAAATTTGGTTCGACTAACTTGTGGACGATGGAATTCTGAAGCTTGTTGAATGTACAAAGTTTGGCTTCTCGTATGTTTTCCATGCACAAGTTGGTAAATTTGATTCGGCTAACGAGGCTCAGTTCGTCAAGAATTATTGATCATTCGATGCACGTGGTCTGAAGTGTCGTTAGATTTTCTTTATAATCATCAATCTGACATCGCATCAAACGTCTCAAATTCCTGGTAGAGGCACAGATTTTATTTCTCCGTAAGCGTTTGCAAAACGTAATCGGATATCTGTTGCAACGGGCACGTTGTTCCCGAAAATGAATACGGACTCGAGTTGTGGCAAATTCACATCTCAATCTGACTAGGTCATCGAGAGACCTAATGGTTGATTTCGGGAGACGAGATCTGAGGAAATTTAAACATGCTTTTCCCGAAATAATCTTGAAAAGAAAAGCCACAGTTACAACATTGCACGATTCGTGTCCGGGACGATTTCGCTGCATCTGAACATGGTGCACACTGTACAACCATACTGTTTATATAAGTTCATGTAAAACCATAATTTTCGACAAATATAGGGGAAATTTCAATAGTCAAGTTACGTCACCATGATAAAGACACATGAACAAAGAGCTGTTTGTGCTGACACAATATTAGGTTTCCATGAATGTATGGCAATGGTTTGAACAAACCTCAAAAGCCTGGTATTCTTTGCCACGTAAATGACCCGAAACGCAGTGCTTCGGTCAGCTGGATGTTGCGTCATCAGAAGATGACGAGCGACGGCCGACGGCCGACGGCCGACAGCCGACGACGGGATCTTATGGTTTCGAACGTTGTCATTATGCCTTTGATCTGACCCTGATTGCATCACAAAACGTTGTACCCAATTTGGAATATATTCAATCACTCGGTTACGTAACTGGCGCTCTGTTCGACCCACGTACGTTGCTCCGCAACTACACTGAAATTGGTAAATCAGATTCGATTTGGTGTACAGAGGTGGACGTTGTTTCACCGAGGGTGTGGGGATCTCAATCGTTCGATGAATAATTCTGAGGTCAGGTGCATAATATTTGTTTTGGGCAATCGCTGATCAAAGTGGTCGTTTGAGCAAGCAATTGATGTCATCACGTATGAATGGAAGACAAAGGGTGACTAGTAGTTTTTCTGCTGAACAATTCGTTTGTCTGATCAATTTAGGCTTGCTGTGCTTTTCGATAAACGCATCGGGATAAGCGTTTCTAGTCAAAGATTCTTTCAGCTGTCGTAGTTCGTTGTCAATCATGTCTTATGTGCAGATATGTCGTGCTGTTTGAAATAGTGTTCGGACCAGACCACGTTCATATTCCACAGACACAAAGCTGTCAAATTGCAAGCATCGGCCTGTCCAAGTTTCTTTTCGGTAAACAGATCTGGCCATTGTTCCATCATTATTCCTAGTCATTTTAATGTCGAGGAAGTGCAGTGTATCTTCGATTTCTGTTTCCATCGTAAATCGTATATTCGGATGCAGGCGATCGAGTTTATCCATAATCCATGTTGTCTCTTCTAGACTTATTAAGATGACTAGAACATGATCAACGTATCGTTTGTAAAGTTGTGAACGTTCGAGGATTTTGCTCGCCTTTTCCTCAAGATGAGCCAAAAACATATGTGCCAGAATGGGGCTCAATGGAGTTCCGATTGCGACACCGTCAATTTGTCTGTAAGCCCAACCAAGGAAGGAGAACGATACGTTTGTTGTGCACAGTAGTAATTGTCGTACCAGAACTGATACTGGTATACCGATTTTCAGTTCGTTTTGCTCCACATGATCACACATGATACGTATGACCTCCCGACCGGGAACATTCGTAAACAGTGATTGGAAATCAAATGAAGCCATGTGCTTCCCTTTCACATTGATCTGGTCCAAAAGCTTTACCACTTCGAAACTGTCTTTTTTATAGTGTGTCTGACCATTGATTTATGAACTGGCTCAAGCAATTTCTCCAGCCATTTGGCCAATTCGTGTTGTGGTGAATTTGTCATAGATAGTAGTAGTATTGGTCCAAGTGGCACTCCGGGTTTGTTTAGTTTCGGTAAACCATACAGTTGTGCACTTCGAGTTCCTTTTGGCTTCAGATGGTGAGCTGTGCTTTCATCGATGAAGTGTCCTTCTAGTAGAAATTGTACTGCTGTCGATATCTGTTGTTCTAGTTCTTTAGGGTCTTCACAGTCATCTTCGAGTACAAACTTGCTGGGATCATGAAGAACACTTTCCATCTTCTTCTCATAATCATTCCGATCGATCAGCACTGCTCCGGACCCCTTGTTAGGGCGTAAAACTAACAAATCAGGTCACAACTGTAGCTCTTCAATGGCGGATGTGAATGTGCTCAGGCGTGAAGAGTGACTTATGTTTGGACGATGTCATCCGGTACTGTCGTTCCAAGTCAACCAGCTTTGCTTTGAACCAAGTCTCCGCATCTTTTGAAGTTCGTTTGACTAATTGTAGTTGTTCGAATAGATATTCAAATTGCGCCTGTGTCTTTATGCTGGTCATTTTACTCGGTGGTATGCAGAAACGTAGACCACACGAAAGAGCCTGTAGTTGAAGTTCATTCGTTTAACCGGAGACAAATTCTTCACAAACCTTTCTGGTTGTTTCGGAAAATTTGGTTCGACTAACTTGTGGACGATGGAATTCTGAAGCTTGTTGAATGTACAAAGTTTGGCTTCTCGTATGTTTTCCATGCACAAGTTGGTAAATTTGATTCGGCTAACGAGGCTCAGTTCGTCAAGAATTATTGATCATTCGATGCACGTGGTCTGAAGTGTCGTTAGATTTTCTTTATAATCATCAATCTGACATCGCATCAAACGTCTCAAATGCCTGGTAGAGGCACATATTTTATTCCTCTGTAAGCGTTTGCAAAACGTAATCGGATATCTGTTGCAACGGGCACGTTGTTCCAGAAAATGAATACGGACTCGAGTTGTGGCAATTTCACATTTCAATCTGACTAGGTCATCGAGAGACCTAATGGTTGATTTCGGGAGACGAGATCTGAGGAAATTTAAACATGCTTTTCCCGAAATAGTCTTGAAAAGAAAAGCCACAGTTGCAACATTGCACGATTCGTGTCCGGGACGATTTCGCTGCATCTGAACATGGTGCACACTGTACAACCATACTGTTTATATAAGTTCATGTAAAACCATAATTTTCGACAAATATAGGGGAAATTTCAATAGTCAAGTTACGTCACCATGATAAAGACACATGAACAAAGAGCTGTTTGTGCTGACACAATATTAGGTTTCCATGAATGTATGGCAATGGTTGGAACAAACCTCAAAAGCCTGGTATTCTTTGCCACGTAAATGACCCGAAACGCAGTGCTTCGGTCAGCTGGATGTTGCGTCATCAGAAGAGGACGAGCGACGGCCGACGGCCGACGGCCGACAGCCGACGACGGGATCTTATGTTTTCGAACGTTGTCATTATGCCTTTGATCTGACCCTGATTGCATCACAAAACGTTGTACCCAATTTGGAATATATTCAATCACTCGGTTACGTAACTGGCGCTCTGTTCGACCCACGTAGGTTGCTTCGCAACTACACTGAAATTGGTAAATCAGATTCGATTTGGTGTACAGAGGTGGACGTTGTTTCACCGAGGGTGTGGGGATCTCAATCGTTCGATGAATAATTCTGAGGTCAGGTGCATAATATTTGTTTTGGGCAAGCGCTGATCCAAGTGGTCGTTTGAGCAAGCAATTGATGTCATCACGTGTGAATGGAAGACAAAGGGTGACTAGTAGTTTTTCTGCTGAACAATTCGTTTGTCTGATCAATTTAGGCTTGCTGTGCTTTTCGATAAACGCATCGGGATAAGCGTTTCTAGTCAAAGATTCTTTCAGCTGTCGTAGTTCGTTGTCAATCATGTCTTCTGTGCAGATATGTCGTGCTGTTTGAAATAGTGTTCGGACCAGACCACGTTCATATTCCACAGACACAAAGCTGTCAAATTGCAAGCATTGGCCTGTCCAAGTTTCTTTTCGGTAAACAGATCTGGCCATTGTTCCATCATTATTCCTAGTGATTTTAATGTCGAGGAAGTGCAGTGTATCTTCGATTTCTGTTTCCATCGTAAATCGTATATTCGGATGCAGGCGATCGAGTTTATCCATAATCCATGTTGTCTCTTCTAGACTTATTGCGATGACTAGAACATGATCAACGTATCGTTT